CGTTCAGCGCCTGAAAGCTGTCCAGACCGGATGTGGGCTCGTCTGGCGAGAGGGGGGAGGACAGGGGAGGGGGGAGGAAAAGGGGCAGTGGGGAGAGAGGGGGAGGGGGAGGGAGAGTGGGTAGCGGAAAGGGGAGGGGAAGGAAGAGGAGGGAGAGAGGGTCAAAGAGTGGATTTTGTTGACGACATGAAGTGTCTGCCAGTGCACGGAAGGGAAATGTAACGGGTGGAATATGTGCAAGTGAAACACGTTACAGTGTTCCATGTACCAGTGGTACATGAAACCAAGAAGCATGTATGTAACCACTAGTAAAACTGCGTAACATTGTAACAAAGGCAACAGAGGTCGCATTAGAAGCGAACGGAGCTGAACCTAGTCCTTAACACATGCACAATCAAGGCGCCTCAAAAGATGCTCGTGGCGCATGGTGACGCAACACACACACCACAAGGAGAATCAGAGCAGCAAAACACCCCAATAAACACCAGAGCACCCAAACTTACCGAGAAACACGAGCGAGGGGTTCGAAAGCATCTCCACGGCAATGTTCGTCCGCTTCCGCTCCCCGCCGCTCACCCCCCGAATCATCTCATTCCCAATGGGAGTATTCCGCGCCTTGCTAAGCCCCAGCTCCGCAATAATCGACTCGGCCAGCTGCAGGCGCTGCGCCTTGGGCATGGACGACGGCAGGCGCAGCATGGCGGCTGTCTGCAGCGTCTCCCAGACGGTGAGCGTGGAGAACATGAGGTCGTCCTGCATCACATATGCGGATATGCGCCTGAAGCTCTCGTCCCGTGGCCGCCCGTTCACCAGCACCTGCCCCGCTAGCGATGTGGGGGCTCCAGCGCGCATCACCCGCCCTGCTAGCACGTTCAGCAGACTCGTCTTGCCGGAGCCTGGACGGGCAGGGAAAAAGGTAGACAAGGGGGAAGTATGGGGCAGATGCGGGGCAGACGGTGAGTGTGGAGAACATGAGGTCGTCCTGCATCACATACGCCGAGATCCGCCGGAAGCTCTCGTCCCGCGGACGACCGTTTACCAGCACCTGCCCCGCTAGGGACGTGGAAGCTCCAGCGCGCATCGCCCTCCCTGCCAGGGCAATCAGCAAACTTGTTTTTCCCAGAGCCTGGAGGGTAGGGAAGGGGAAGAACTGAGGCAGATGAGGGGCACTGAAAAAAGCTCTCGTCCCGTGACCGCCCGTTCACCAGCACCTGTCCCGCTAGGGAGGCGGCGGAGCCTGTGCATTCAACAGACTCGTCTACGACTCGTCTACCCGGATCCTGGGAGGGGCACGGGAGGGGGAGACAAGGGCTCTGCCTGAAACTCTCGTCCCGCGCTTTGAGACGTCTCAAAAAGGGGCAGATGAGGGGTACTGCTTGAAGCTCTCTTCCCGTGCACGCCAGTTCACCAGCACCTACCCGGATAGGGAGGTTGGGGCGAACGTTCCAGAAACAGAATGAAAGTTCAACTGCAAACAAGTCTCTGCACTGGAAAAAAAAAAAAAAAAAAAAACCAGAGATACCCATAGTAGCGAGGAAGGGTGCCGGCTTTGACAGGTATCTCTCAGGGTTTAACCACGAACGAAGCGTAAGGCAAGGACTAGTATCCCACCTGAGGGGCCCATGATGGCGAGGAAGGAGCCGGCCTTGACGCATCTCGTGAGGTTGATGGCGAAAAGTTACACGACCCGAACGTAACGTAACGAAAGGGGAAAAGGCCGCACCTGAGGGGCTCATGATGGTGAGAAAGGAGCCAGCCTTAACGTATCCCGTGAGGTTGTCCAGAACGAGAGCGAGAGATCAACTGCGAACAGGGCTGTGGGCCGAAATATCTAACCTGAGGGGCCCATGATGGCGAGGAAGGAGCCGGCCTTGACGTATCCCGTGAGGTTATCCAGAATGAGCTTGTTTGTCTTCGCCTTGCCTCGCCCCAGCGTGACTGTGTACGTCACGTTCTTGAAAGCCAACGACACGGGATGGAAGCGAGTTCCTGGCGCTGCCGCCGCCACCTGGATGACAGGAAAGAGAGGGACAGAGAGAGAGAGAGAGAGAGAGAGAGAGAGAGAGAGAGAGAGAGAGAGAGAGAGAGAGAGAGAGAGAGAGAGAGAGAGAGAGAGAGAGAGAGAGAATGGGAAGTGATGAGCGTCGCGGGGAAGACTTTAATGATGTACATCACGCGTTTCAAACGCTGGACACACAAGGTGGAACACGCGTTCGGGGCATTAAGGCCACGGCGTCAATAAGCTTAGACAAGAAGAAGATGAACAGAAAGAAATAACACAAAACAAAAAGCCTCCGTCGTTGCTTCATCCAAAAACTACAGGGACAGAAAGGCTGTGTGATATATACTTGAAAAAAAGAAAACAACCAAAAAACAAGCGACACATGAGTTGCTATGTGAGAAGCAACGCGACTTTATTCAACGGAGAGAGTGTGAAGGCTCCGTGAGCGTCACCTCAAACATGGACTGCGTTCGCTTATACTCGTTTCCTTCTGACGGAATGGTGACTCTCTCTTCCGCGTTCAACGGCTCGCCTTGCTCCACGTCGATCGGCGCGCCCTCGCTGCTGCTGTTAGGCACCTCCCCCATGCCGCCTAAGCCCATTGTTCCTTCTACTTGTAATAGGTTAGAAGAACGATTGTCGGGGAGAAATATGTGAGCCAAGCGTAACGAGTGGTGAAACGAGCGGTCTCACCAACTTAGTCACTATTTTGAGGTGACACCGGCTTTCACGCACCGAAACCGCTACGGCGATGCCGTCGAAACTACGCAAATGCTTGGTGCTGACACTCTCTCAAAACAAACACTTGCAAGAAAAAGTAATATTGACAGCACAAAACCAGTCAGAGCGACGAGAAGCTAACGGTGAAACCCAGAACAACTCAGGAGACGACCAGCAGCACGAACAACACTATCACTACCGGTCACCACAGGAAGCCGCGACAATTTCTAGGGCAGCAATGCCAGACACAGATGCTAGCGAGCGTTGAAGGTGTGTCATCAGAGCCAAGTATCGTGCGACACCCTAGTCAACCATTTTTCGTACCGCAGTAACCTTTCTCAACCGCAAATGGGTTGACCTTTCGACCAACTGTAGTCCCGTCCCGTGTTGACAGTCCCTGTTTTACTGTATAGACGGAATGGCTCAAGTTACCAGTCTAAAGCCTTCGCAAGAAGGAAAAGCTGCTTATGCGATCTCCAAGAGGTAATGGCGAATTTCAGCGAGCAACGACAGCCGCCAGAAGGATAAGGTCCACAAGGCTTCATGACGTCAGATACGTGGGTGAGAGGCATGCGATGCGAGCGATGAGATGCAACACCAGAAAGCGCGCGGAAATGCAGAGCGCAGCCCAGCCTACGTCACCACTGGAAAACAGAAGCAGCTAGAATATAGTTTGTAGTTCTAAAAGAATTGGGTGTTAAAACACTTGAGCAGCAACACACTCATCAAATATACCAAGAACCAACCCACGCATTTAATTCACACACCCAACCCGATAGTGTGAAAAAATCTACTACTCAAATGGCACAAACAAAATTACGGAAGCCAAAGCAGAGGAAGCAGGAATACAGGAATGGGGCAAGGCACCGAAGGGGGGGTCAAGCATCAGACACACAACTGAAGAGGGAACAGGGAAGATGCAGAAAATGAGAGGTGGCCTTGTATGGAAGGGGACGAAAACGAAGCTGCAGCTTGTATCCTGAAAAGTGGCACTGCAAAAAGAGAAGCAAACAAGCGCAGCAGCCTGGCGTGCCCATGCCTGCCCTCCTGCCTTCAGTACTTCATCTTTACGCCTTCAGCTGTGTTGACAAAAACCATCAGTTTGTTACTCAATCTGTATAACGAAACTGCACTCAAGCAGGGTACGCTACTACCGAGGTACGCAAATGCTGGAGAAGGGGAGAAACACAAGCAAGCGAGCAATGGGCAGAAATGGAGAAACACATGAAAAGAAACACAGGAGACGAGAGGAAGAAAACACAGGCAGCACACAGAAAGGGGGGAAAAATAGGGGAAGGGGGAGAAACACAAATGCAGGAGAAAAGGCAGGTTGTCAGCAACCAATGTGGTATTGATCAAACGCCCTCCTGCGACCACGACTTGGTTTGCAATCTCGGTTTATAACAAGTCCAGGTGGAAAGGGTCTGCGGGAAAGGGTGGCAGCAAATCCAGGAGGCAACAAATCCAGGTGTCAGAAATCTACTGTAAGCGAGTATTGAATTCCCAGCTTCACGACAAGCTTCTGGAGTGGCTTGAAATCCAGAAGGAAGGAATCAGTTGATATTCCCATCTCTGGAAAACCTCACAGAAGCATTTTGAGGCAACTCAAACCTCACTTACTCTCCAGCTGCTCACCGTGTTCCTGCTTACAGGAGTGAAGGAAGGAAATTTAGCCATTATTATATGCTCCGCATTTAATTCTTAAGCCGCTCCAAAACACATGCGCCGTGCATTAGCGGAACCTCTCCTTGATGGGAAGCTACCCTCGATTTGCCGAGGGTTCGGGCACATTGGGTTGGGTCTACAAATAGGCCTTTGACTTGCTGCTTGATGGCTTGCTGCTTGATGGCTTGCTGGTTGCAGGACCTTTCCAAGCATTGTGTGGTGAAGTAAACATCTGGTTTCCATACCTGTATTGTGTGGCTTCTGTTCTCTCGCAGGCCTTGGGCCAACCTTGGAGGGGCAGTACCTACATACCTTGCTTGCCATTAGGACAAGTTACCTGTTGGCGTAGGACGAGTCACCTGCGGATCCAGGTCGAAACTTTATACATATGCTTGGGCCAACCTTGGAGGGGCAGTACCTACATACCTTGCTTGCTCGCTTGCTCGCTTGCAGCACTATCACTCTTCCTCCTCCTCCCCGCAGTCCACCAGAGTCATGCCTCCAGGGCCGCCTGCCGAACCTGCAGATCTTGTTTGCTTGGTGCTTCTCTCGCATGCCTTTTGGCCAACCTTGGGGGAGCAGAACCTACCTTGCTAGCTTGCTTGATGGACAATCAATCTTCCTCCTCCCCATAGTCCACCAGAGTCATGCCTCCCGAGCCACCTGCCGAGCCTGCAGTCACCGAACCTGGAGTCATGTTAGCCGAACCTGCGCCTGTGGCAAGGGAGGATGCTTAAGGGCCAAAATGAGAAGTTGACGATAGTAGAGAGGGATAAATACCATTGAAGATAAGGACACCATACTTGCATATTATGTATATACACACATATACTCATATTCCTAGCGCTAGGAGATCGGACAAACTTTCTGCTTACCGTTTTGCCCATTTGCCTGGCCTCCACCTCCTCCGCCGAGCCTGGTCGGCAGCTTCGGGGGCGGCGGGCCCATGATCGACCGAGCCTGCGGTGGAGGCATGGAAGACGACTGGTACTGCTGCTGCTGCTGCTGCTGTTGGTGATGTTGCTGCTGTTGCTGCTGTTGCTGCTGATGCTGCTGTTGCTGTTGCTGTTGCTGCTGCTGCGGCTGGTAAGTGATATAACTACCCCCATACGAGCCATAGGAAGACTGGTGGGCACCTGTACCGTTCCCTGCACCACCACCACCCCCACCAGACGAACCACCACCACCACTCCCACCACTCCCACCAGCACCACCACCAGCAGTATTACCAGCAGCAGCAGCACCACCCCCTCCTCCCCCTCCCACGTCAGTCACTTCCCGGAACTTTCTCCCCTTGCCCGATGTGCTCCTGCCCGCCCCTCCCCCTCCCCCCATGCCCACCTGCGAATACAACCCCCCATACGCCGCATACCCTGGGCCACTCACGCCTCCCCCTCCACCCCCGTCCTTCTCCCCCCCTCCCCCTCCACCACCCCCTCCCCCACCCCCTCCGCCTCCTCCCCCTCCGGCTCCACCCCCTGCGCCCCCTGACTGCTGCTGCTGCTGCCACTCGTCCCGGATGGTGTCTATGAGGCTCTCTGCCAGCTTCTTTGCTTCGGCCATCTGTGCTGCTGATGCACCTTCAGAGGCAGTCAGGGAGACGTGCAGGGGCGCGTTTAGCTCTGCACACGAGGGGTGGAAGGGGAGGAAAAGGGCGGGGGGGGGGGGGGGGAAGAACAGGCGGGATAGGGGTGTGAGGGGAGGAGGAGGAGGGAGGGGAGAGGGTGCAATAATAAAAAAATTGCCTGACTGCTGCTGCTGCCACTCCTCCTGGATGGTGTCTGTAAGGCTCTCTGCCAGCTTCTTTACCTCAGCCATCTGTGCTGCCAATGCACCTTCAGTGGTCATGAGCGGTGAAAGGTGGGCAATGAGGGAGATGGGAGGGGTGTGAAAAGGAGAATAGGAAATGGTGAGGGTGGGTGAGAGAACTCTGCAAGGTTTCCTCGCCTCTCCTCATCTTCGCCTCTCCCCTCACATCCACCGTTATTCTCACCTTCGCCGGTTTTTGAGAATCCAAAAAAACCAGCTAATCTCACCTGGCCTTGCCTTCGCATCTCCTCATCTTCGCATCTCCTCATCTTCGCCCTCGCCTCAAAAAGACATTTGCACATTCGCCGTTGATTGATCTCATGGTTGTTAAAACCTCGTCCATGCAGCGTCGCCTTGAAGCCCGTGAAATGCCCGTGAATGCACAAATGTCTTTTTGAGGCACCTCAAAAGTCCCTCCCCACCTTCGCCCGCCCTCCCCTCACTTTTCGCATTGACGTCACCCCGTCCTCCCCTCACCTTCGCCGTTGATCTCGTGGTTGCTGGAGCATCGTCCATGCAACATCGCCTTGATACCCGCGGAGCACAAATGTCACATCCTCCTCCCAACCAAGCTTCGACCTCCCCTCACCTGCAGCGTTAATCTCACTCCGTCCTCTCCTCACCTTCACCCACCTCTCACCTTCACAGCTGGTCTCACCTTCACAGCTGGCCTCACCTTCACAGCTGCTCTCACCTTCGCCGTTGATCTCGTGGTTGTTGGAGCATCGTCCATGCAACGTCGCCTTGATACCCGTGGACGTCTGAATATGCTCCAAATACGAGTCCTGCGCGTGAGTGGAAGGGAGGGGGAGCAGGGGGGAGGGAGGAGGAACGGGGGGAGGTGGGAAGGGGAGACAGAGGGAGAGAGAGAGAGAGAGAGAGAGAGAGAGAGAGAGAGAGAGAGAGAGAGAGAGAGAGAGAGAGAGAGAGAGAGAGAGAGAGAAAATGAGAAGCATTGGGTCGTGCAATGCGCCCAGAAGCGTCAAACTCGCGGGTCGGTTCAAACCCAGCAAGTAAAGTACAAGCACGGTGTCTTGGGGTTGACCCCTGGGAGAATTGACCCCACACAAATCCTAACCCAACCAGCCAGCCCCAGAACCACCTCCCCTCGCTCTTCCCGTTCAATATTCAACCCACATTGAACCCTGACTCTTCCCCTTTCCCTCCCATGCTTCACTCACATTGGGTCCTCTGATTCGCCCAGAGGCATCGAACTCCCGGGTCGGCTCAAACCCCGCAAACACCAGCACGATGTTGCTGCCCGGAGGGATAGACCCAGCAGAAGCGCCCTTCCTCAACCATTTACCCAAGAGCAACCAACCAACCAACCAACCCCAGAACCATCCCCTTCGCTCTTCCCGTACAATAGTCAACTCACATTGGGTCCTCTGATGCGGCCCGAAGCGTCAAACCAGTTACCCACCAGCCCCAGAACCAACCCCCTCGCTATTCCTGTTCCTTAGTTAACTCACATTGGGTCCTCTGATGCACCTCGAAGCGTTGAACTCCCGGGTCGGCTCAAACCCCGCAAACACCAGCACGATGTTGCTTCCGGGGGGGATAGACCCAGCAGAAGCGCCCTTCCCCAACCAACCAGTTACCAGCCCCAGACAACCCCCCTCGCTCTTCCTGTTCATCCAACAACGAACTCACATTTGGTCCTCTGATCCGACCAGACGCATCGAACTCGCGCGTTGGCTCGAATCCCGCAAACACCAGTACGATGTTGCTGCCCGGAGGGATAGACCCTGCAGAAGCGGACGGGGCGCCATACCCCTCCCCATACGCCCCAGGCGGGGGCGCCCCATAGGCGCCACCCGGGGGAGGTGCATATGGAGACGGGGCGGCAGCAGGGTAACCAGCAGGGGGGTAAGCAGGCGGCGGGTATTGGCCCGGAGGGTACTGCCCGGGCGCCTGCGGGGGGTATTCACCAGGTGCACCCTGCGGGGGAGGGCCATACCCAGGGGCACCCTGAGGGGGATACGGACCAGGAGCGCCAGCAGGAGGGGGGTAGCCTGGGTAACCGTGGGGAGGAGGCGGGCCGTATGCAGGGTCATATGTCCCTGGGGGAGGGGCGGGATATCCCCCGGGGGGGGGAGCACCATAAGGGGGAGGCTGACCCTGAGGAGGGTAGGACCCAGGCGGGTAGGGACCAGGCGGGTAGGACCCGGGGGGGTAGGAACCAGGCGGGTAGGATCCGGGGGGAGGTGCGTACTGGGGAGGGGCGCCATACCCTTCCCTGTCCCTCTCCCTGTCTCTGTCCCTGTCCCTGTCTTGATCGCGGTCCCTATCCCTGTCTCTTCCTCGGTCCCGCTCCCGATCCCTGTCCCTGTCCCTCCCATACCGGTCCCGATCTCTGTCCCTCTCTCTGTCTCTGTCCCTGCCCCTGTCGCTGCGCCCATACGGATCGTATCTGTCCCTTTCCCGCCCCCTGCCCGCCTCAAGCTCCCTCTCATGCCGCCCGCCCCGCCCCGCCCTGCCGCTGTCGCGGGACGAACTCGACCGCTCGCCGCCCCACGGCGGACGGCCAGGATCGGCCCGATCGGGCGCCTGGGCCCTGGGCTGCTCTCCTGGCCGTAGATTCATGATGTCGTCGATCATACGGACGGCCGCGTCCACCATCCGCTGCTTTTCCTCCGGCGTCTTGGCCTGCACACGTGGAAAGGGGGGGAGAGGGAGCAACGGGGAGATGGGGGAGGGGGGAGATGCGATGGGGGAAGGAATAGAGCAGCGTCCTCCATCCGCTGCTTCTCCTCCGGCGTCTTGGCCTGCAGACAGGCATGACAGGGGGAAGGGGGGGAAAGGAAGGGGAAAGAGGGAAGGAGGAGAGGGGAGGATGGGAAATGGGGGAAGAGGGGAGTGCGGGAAGGGAGAGAGAGAAAATAAAGGGAAAAAGTGAGATGCAAATTCACAGAGAGGCACAAGGCAGGAAAACGACTTTGATACGTCTCAAAGAAAAATCGCAGACAGGTAGATGCTTGCTACAAGGAAAGGAGACGGGAGGAGCCAGGGGGAAGCACAGCTTTACCTCGGTGGATGGGGACACGTGCAGATACAATGGACGGTCGCGATTCTTCGGATCGTTCATGTTGCAGAACTTGCCCCTGGGGTGAGGCGGAGATGGGAGAAGGGTACATGACAGAATGAGGCATGCGAGAACAACAGGGCACATGAACAACAGGGCACATGAACAACAGGGCACATGAACAACAGGGGAAGCTGAGCCTGAGCGCAACGCAACAAGAGCTGATGATTGTTGTGGTCAGTGCTGGTGACATGTGAGTGGTGATGATGTATGTAGGATGCATACACCAAACAAGTGAATCATGCATGGGACAGAAAGAACTACGTCTGAATACGGTTCACTTTGCAAAACCGGCATATCACATCACAAAACGCGGTACAAAACGAGTCGCAAGATGCAGCTCAAAGCGAAAACGGATACGAGTTGGTGAAGTGGGAAAATCGGAGCCAGTTAAGCAACGTGCGTACCTGGTGGAAATCACCGCGCCTGTCTTGCGGTGAATCTGCAGTGACTCGACACAGGATGGAAAGGAGTGGTAGTATGGGATAGGAAGGGGTGGCACGGGATGGGACGGGGTGGCATGGGATGGGATGGAAAGGGGTAACACGGGATGAGAAAGGGTGGTACGGGATGGCACGCAGACACAAGGAAAGCAATGAAGAAACACATCATCTGAGACTCGAGACACACGTTACTGAGATAACACACATGCCTACTTCCATCGCCTGATCCCTCCCGCTCGCTTAGGGTTGCGAGTGCAGATAGCATAAATTAGGGTTTTGCGGTGGGTGTCAAAGAAAGAAGCAGACCGTGCGCGTGTGGCAAACCATGGGCCAAGTCGTGCTGAGTGTGACATCAAAACCCGACGATGCAAGATATGGTTAAACTCGTGGATCACCATTGACCTTGGAGTCTATTCACAGATCGTCCCCGCGGCGATTATACAGGCAACGAGCGTAAGCCTCCAAAAATTCTCACACTTTCGAGTCCACTCACATCGTCTTGAGTGCCGCGGCGCGTGAGCTGGTAACGCACGTTAGGGTTACACTCGTTAATCACCACCTCCTTAACAATCTCCTCTGGCGGCGGTTTTCCTGGCGGCCCTGCCGCCGCCGTTTCCGGCTTCCGCTGCACGCCTATCCCGCGCTTCGCTAACTCTTCGTTCACTTGCCGAGCCATCATCTCAGCCCTGGCCTTAGCGTCGTCCAGGTTCGGCATCGCCGGACCTGGAGCTGCCGAGCCAGTAAGGCCCGGGACTTGGCCTGGAATCATCCCCGGCATTCCCAAGAGAGAAAGTCCGGTAGGGACGGGTTTTCCCGCGGCTGCTAGCGACGCGGCGACGGCGGCTGCGGCGGCGATTGCGGCGGGGGAGGTTCCGGAGGGGATGGTGGAGAGCGCTGCGGCTGCTGCCGCCGCTGGATCTGCCGCTTGATCCCATTTGCTCCGCTTTCTGGGAGGTTAATAGAAAACAAAAATCGAAGACGAGAAGCAAGTAAGGGGAAAAATAAAGTTTGGATTCAGGAGAGTAGTCGAGAAAAAAAAAACAATGAAGAACGAAGATGAGAGTTCGAGAAGCATATTTGGTTCATAGGGACTTATCCCTCGTTGAAGAAACTGTAAGCGCAGATGGCAGGGTAAGAACGGAAAGATGCGAAGACGAGACAACCGAGAGGAAAAAAGACACGGAAAACCCCCAAAGGGACGATGTACGCACTTATCAGCGGAAGAGTCCGCCATGGTGTGAGAATAGATTCAATGTAGGAAACTGGACACAATGATGTACGCAAAGAAAATCGCGATTTTATCAGAGGCAGGAGGCAGGAGGAGGTTGGCCGCGATTTAAAGTGAGTCGTAAATTGCAGTTGTGTCCACTATACAGCAGTGAGAGAGACATGGTTTATAAGAAGCATGGTTTAGCTCACCTGAAGTTGATGACATTTAAATCGACTTAGCGTACGTTGGAAACCAGACATGGATACACGAATTCATACTCGGTACAAGGCTGAAGACCACGTCTGCCTAACTTCAAGCAGATACAAGTTCGATTGCCACGCGGGAAACGGCTTTGGCCTTTCGACAGCAAATGAGGTGGCACGGGCGGAGACACAAGCTTGCGGGGGAAGCTTGCCCCCTGCAATTCGATGCGAATCCATTCCATCTGTCGTTTACCTGTTGTCGTGTAGCCCGAACAACGGTCTGCTGCATGCCCGCTTGCTTGCGGTCAGCTGATAAGTTGACTGTGGCACGTGGTGAACAAGCGCCTTGATTTTCGCGGCTTGTTGGAAACGTGAAGTCTTGGTGGCAACCAATCGTGGACTGCCACAAGGCTGCCCGCGGACCAAATGCTGGACTAACCGTGGCAGGGGCAGCAGCATTTTCAAGCTGGTCAGCCAAGCTTAACAGCTCGAATCGCAGGACTTCAGGTTTACATAATTTCCCGCGTAATTTCGCAACCACTCCCCCACCCGCACCGCCTTGTCCATGCCCACCACCACCAACCAGACCTATCTCCGCACGAAAATGCGAACCTTCCTACTACATTACGTCACGTCGGGGGCGTTGAACATTCCGCCTTCCCAGACGAAACCTCTGAAGAGCGCGGTAAGGGCGGGTCCAGCGAGTACGTTTTCCGTACATTACAGTTCATTCAGTGCGGTAATTTGTATTGCGTCACGCTTCATAACGGTGAAATATCAGAACCGCTGTGCACCATCTAATATCTTTTCAGACCACGACGAATGAACTGTATAGTACCTGTAAACGTACGCGCTGGACCCGCCCTAAACCTTTCTGCGATGCCTCGTTCTCCAAACCTCCAGTCCAGTTCCCCCCTGCCCCTTCCCTCCATGCCGCCAAGACCTCTCTCCCATTCTCCGGAGTTCTTTCCCCCAGTCCGCCAAGTTTTTTCCCCCATTTCCCCGACCAAAGCTTCCAGAACCATCTCCGCCAAGCGTCACTCGACACTCCCTTCACTAATCACTTATCTCCTTCCCTTCCCCGTCCGTCACTCGCTCGCCTTGACTTATCTCTAGTCGTCTGGATCCGCTGTACAAATAGAAGCGAACTCCATTTGCACCTCACTCGTCTTCGCTTCACATTTTCCAATCTTCGAAAGTTCAATCCGTCATCACCCGCACTGACGAACCACGTTTCTCATCGCCTTCCCTCTTCTCTGCTAAACTGACATCTCTCCGCCGAGATCGGCCGCTAGATGTCCTTTTAGCTGAGCAAGCAGGCACATCTCTACCGCCCTGCCTCCATCTCGCTTCGACTTGATCTTGTAAACGCGTCTTTCCAATGGCAACCGTTGGCAGCCAAGCTGTTACCTCGTTCCACGGGGCCGCGGCGGCCTTCGCCCATCCCCTCACTCACGACGTCAGCATCATGAGATCCAACGCGGCGCTGGGCGACGCGCTGGCGACAGCGGAGCAAGCCATCGCAGGCCTCGCCCAGGTCGTCGACGTCGTCAAGCGTCGCCACTCGGCGCCGTCGCAATTTCATTCACTCGCTGCCCCGCCGTCGCAGTTCCATTTTTATCAGCCGCTGCCATTCCAAGCCAGCTATGTCCCGTGCGCGGCGCCTCTTCCCGCATCTGCCGGCGCATCTCCCGCGTCCTCCTCCGTCTCCCAGCATTCCGCCGGCCCCCGCCCATGTGTCGCCATTCTGCGCTCGAGCGCCGTTTCCGGCTCCAAGCGCAGCGCGGCGGCGCTCGCGACCACCTCGAGACCCGCGCCGCCGCGTGCAAAGCGGGCAAAGCGCGCCAAGCGCTCCGCAACCCCTGAATCTGCTCCGCCCTCGCTCGTCCCGTCCAGCGGCTCCGACTGCGAGTCGGAGACAAGCGGCTCGTCGACATCGCCGAAAACTGAAGCTCCCGTCGTAGGAGCCGTCGCAGAAGCAGTCGCAGGGCCCGTCGCATACAAGGGCGTGCGACAGCGCAAGTGGGGCAAGTGGGTGTCGGAGATCCGCGAGCCCAACAAGCGCACGCGCATCTGGCTGGGGTCGTTCGACTCGGCGGAAGACGCTGCGCGCGCCTACGACGTGGCCGCTCGCCTGCTGCGCGGATCACAGGCTGCGCTCAACTTCCCCGGAGATCAATCCCACTCCGTTCCGCTTCCGTCCGCGACGGCGGAGGCGCTTCTGAAGGCGAGCCGCGAGGCGGCAAAGACGTTCGATACGACCGACGTTGCTGATGTGCTGGAGAAGTCGCTTCTTGCTACTAACGGAGCTCTTCTTGGCGCGGATATCACGATTCAGCTCCCGCAAGCTGGGCCCGCGGAGACAGCTGCGACAGATGCAGCTGTAGCAGCAGCGGACGGCGCAGCTGCAGCTGAGTTACCTTCGACATCTGATTTGACCACTAACAGCGTTTTCGACGATGTTCCCGCGGATTCAATCTCCGCCGTTGATGCCCTCTCCTCGCCTGTTCGCAGCGCCAGTGAAGTCAGCATTGCCTGCAGCGAGAGTGACAGCATCGAGTCGCTTCTGACGGATCTGGAGGAGCAGCACGGCGCTGAGCTGGCGCTGACGGAGGCTGAGCTGTCGGGGAGCCTGTTCCAGGGTGTCATGGAAGATTTTGACCTGGCAGCTGCATGTGGTGACGTGGAAGGGTTTGAGGGTGCTGCTGACTTCAGCATGGACCTATGGGCGTGAGATGAGCATGTTTGGATGCGGAATGGGGTACAGCTGCGTCTGGGTACTACAAATAATTCATTTTAAGGGTTTTGTAGGTAGGTTTTTGGCTCATGGTTTGTTGTGTTGTGTGACATGTCCCAGGCCTCCCAGTCTGGGATGGTCTGTGTGTGGTTCATAAGGCTGTGCAGGGTATCATGTGGCTACTGGCTGAAGAGAATCATGGAGAGAGCACAGCTCGTGGCACGCGGATACTCTAGCGTCCCAGGTCTTTGTGCTGTGCTAGCTCTATGATTCCGGTCACATGATGCTCTGCATGATGTACCTTGTAATGGACTCTTAGTATGGTTCAATAATCCCTACCTCTGCTTTTCTAATTAGCTTTAGGGTTTAGGACCATCATAAACGGTTTGAGCTGCTGCCTCTTGAAACCTCCTCTTTTTCATCATATTTTACTTTGTGCATCTAGATGTTTTATTACGTACCTCTGATCAGGTACGACTGCGGAAGCAATGTGCTTGTGTAGTGTATGATTCGAAGATAATTCGATCTCTGGCTGTGGATGCTCCGGGATTTCGGTCTCGTGGCGGAAAGGGTTTTGAGTTGCGCACGCACTGTTACTGATCATATTTTCTCCCCACGCATCTACAAGGCTTCTGGCGCACTTTTACTGCCCATTTTTCGCTCACAACGCAGAATTAGCTCCTTTCAACGCAGTTTTGCTTTCATTGGTCGTAGAATTGACGGGGCGATTACTCTGCTTTGGTTGGCGGCCACAGAACCGTCAAACGAAAGCATTTCGGGCATAAAAAAATAAAACCCTATCGGGTGGCATGTTTTTCGAGGGAGACATCAACCCTAAACACCGGGTGACAAGGTGTTTAGGATTGATGCCCTTCCCAACGAGTATATTTTTTTCGACGGCTGGTCTCGATAGAGCATCAACCCTAAACACCATTCGGAAGGTGTTTGGGGTAGATACATTTTTAACGGGTTATATAAAAGTTTTAGCACTAAAAACAAATCAGAGTATTTACTGTTTTCTGTGACAGTATCCACAGGTTCGGTTTGTAGTTATGTGCCATGTGTGGACCAATGAAATCAAAAATGTGTTGAAAGGAGCTAACTCTGCGTTGTGAGCGAAAACAGAGCAGTAACAGTGCGCCAGAAGCACTGTAGCTGCACTGGGAGCGAAGAAGTTCATTAACAGTGCGTGCTCAACTCAAAACCCCCTAGGAAACTCCCAGCACACCACCTCCTTCCTAGTCCTTCGCAAAATCGTACCGCAAATTATGGTAACCCTCCATCCGTCCAGCGCAGGCCACGTCAACATGACGGAACGTGCAACCGAACCAAACCCAAATAAACCACGAAGAGACGGAATGCAATCCACCAGTTCCACTTCGCTCCTCCCCTCGGCTCACCACCAGGAGTACAGTACATACCAACACGCAGGCAGTGCAGCAAGGACAGATAAAGAACGGCCGGGGCAAACCCCACACATGACTCACATGAGTCAAGAAGAGGCTGTCGGCTGTCGGCTGTGCTGTGTTGCATGGATTGCACGTACTGTACTCCCGTAACTACCCTCCCCACCTCTCCCCTCTCCTCCCTCTCCTTCAGAACCAGCCCCACCCCAAGATCCTCGACTCGCTTCCTCACTCCTCACCCCACCCGTCTGGTCCGTGCTGGTCCCTTGGAGTACGGAATGAATCTTTAGCTCTAGTGGTTAACGTTCATGAATGCAGTATCAGGAGGAGGAGGAGCAACGAGCTGACGACGGCTGAGTTCGATTTTCAACCCAGTGCCGCTGCTGCTGCTGCCTCCCTTGGCGTCGCAAGCGCCGCAATGCTCTTGCGATCAAATCACAACTTCAAGTTTGCCAGACTCGGCGTTATTCGCGAGCCGTCACTTGCGATCGACTGCGATAGATTCCCCTCGTCGCACTTTCTGACTCGACTGGTAACATATATCGCGTAGTGCTCGCTGACAGACTACTCGCTATGGTTGCGCGAAACCGGGGGCGTGCGGGCGCCGCAGGCTCCGCGGGTAACGCGGGGAACAATCAGCAGCAGATAAGATCTTCTCAGGAGATTCCTCCTAGCATCTTACGCTCCATGATGACGTCAGCGGCGGGGCTCGTCCCCCCGCCGCCGCATTCGCCGGTTCCTGCTAACGCCACGCCCGCCTTAGATCTGGCCAGCGCTAGTAACATCTTCGCGCTCCTTAACCCGGATCTAGCGGCGGCGCGGCTCGGGGGAATGGTGCAAGCTGGTAACGGCGGTCGCGGCGGTACTGTCGGCGGCATTAGCGGCGGCGTTAGCGGCGGTATCCGCGGTAGCGGCGGTAGCGGGCCGGGGCAGATTCTGGGCTCAGCAGGTGGTTCGCTTCCGGTGCCGGCGGCGGCAAGAGCAGCGCCGCATTCGGCGCCGTCAGTTCCGCCGCCGCGCCCGCCCGCGGCGGTATGGCCGGCGGCTCAGCAGATAGGGGGACATCTGACGGCTAGCTGGGGAAACATGGGGCCTGAGACGGCCAATGCACTCGTTACAAGCAATCGCGGTTCCGTTATAAGCATACCTGGTAGTAGCAACGGGGACAGGTCTATGGGTAGCAGCGATACTCAATGTGGCACATGGGCCCTGGGCCAGGTAGGTCTTTCCGCTGGAAACAATGATAGGACTTTCCAGTTAATTCAGCCAGCTGCACAGGCGTTACTCGGTCAGGTGAATCCTCAGGTGAATAATCAGGTGGCTCCTCCGCGGCCTATTGCGGAGTTGCTTCTGGGCCAGTATCTTATGGCTCAGCAGCTGCAGCGGCAGCAGCAGCAGCAGCAGCAGCAGCAGCAGCAGCAGCAGCAGCAGCAGCAGCAGCAGCAGCAGCAGCAGCAGCAGCAGCAGCAGCAGCAGCAGCAGCAGCAGCAGCAACATCAACAGCAACAACAGCAGCAACAGCAGCAGCAGCAGCATCAGCAACAGCAGCAGCAACAGCAGCAGTGGCAATTAGGCAGTACATTGGATTCGCTCTGCCTACCTTTCCCAGGCACCAGCACAACAGCAGCAGCGAATCTGACCAATTTTGCCGCCCGCGCTGTTTACAGAACCCCTTCCGGCACGAGCAGCGGCACTAGAGGCGGCAATGCGGTGCAAATGAGCGGCAGTGCGGTGCAAATGAGCATAGGTAACACGTCCCTCTCGTTACAGTCACAACCCAGCCCCATGTCCGGCAACAACATGTCTCTCTCGTTACAGTCACAGCCCAGCCCCATGTCGGTGGCAGCAACGTTTGACGCGCCTCAGCGCTCGCTACAGTCACAACCTAGCCCCATGTCCGTGTCTGCAGCAGACTATCTTGATCTAGCTGCGTGCGCCTCCCTCCCCCAAGCCAGCAGCCCATCCCTCTCGTCCCAGCCACCACTGCAACTCACAGGAGGAGGAGGAGCAGGAGCGGGTGTAGGAGGAGCAGTAGGAACAGGAGGGGGTGGAAGAGGAGCAGGGGGAACAGGAGTAGGTTATGTAGCAGGAGCAGGAGCAGGAGCAGGAGGAACAGGAGTAGGTTATGTAGCAGGAGCAGAAGGTCGGTCTGTGAGCAGGCTTGGCATGGGCATGGGGGCAGGGGCGTCTATGGCCGCTGTTAGATCCGCATCTGCGGAAGGCATGCGTCCACTGAGTATGTATGCTGGGGGAGGAGCAGCCGGGGGAGCGATGCCAGCAGCAGCGTTGCCAGCAGCTGCTATGCAAGTGCCAACAGCAGCAGCGGCAACAGAAGCGGCAGTGGAAGGCATGCGTCCACTGAGTATGTATGCTGGGGGAGGAGCAACCGGGGGAGCGATGCCAGCAGCAGCATTTCCAGCAGCCTTATTGCCAGCAGCTGCTATGCAAGTGCCAACAGCAGCAGTGGGAACAGAAGCGGCAGCGGAAAGCATGCGTTCCTTGGGTGCGTTTGGCGGAGGCGAAACGGCAGTTGGGGCACTAGCAGGAGGAGTCCCATCAGCATCAGCAGCAGCGGCAGCAGAAGCAGCTGTGGCAGCGGAGGTGCAGTCACTAGAGGCTCTAGAGCGGCTTCTGAACCTGGACTCCTCGTCTGTGCCCCATACATCTTCTCTTCATGCCCCTTCTGAGAATCTACAGAATGCTTCTGCGTTTGAGGTACGTGAGAGGTCGAGCCCGCAGAAGCAGGTTTTGGATTTAGACTCGGCTGCTGCACTGCTGGGGCGAGTGGAGCGTCTGAGAGCGCAGCTGGTGGAGAGGAAACGGCTGCTGGAACAGCAATCGATGGTGCAGCAGCAGCAACAGCAGCAGCAGCAGCAGCAACAACAACAACAGCAGTTTCAGCAGCGGCCACAGCAGCAGCAACAGCAACAACAGCAGTTTCAGCAGCAGCAGCACTTTCAGCAGCATCTGCAGCAGGAGCAACAACAGCAACAACATCAGCAGGTGCAGCAACAGCAACAACATCAGCAGGTGCAGCAGCAACAGCAGCAACAACAGCAGCATCAGTTTCAGCAGCAGCAACAGCAACAACGACAACAGCAACAGCAGCGGCAGGAGCAACAGGAGCAGCAGCAGCAGGAGCAGCAGCAACAAGAGCAGCAGCAGCAACAAGAGAAGCAGCAACAAGAGCAGCAGCAACAAGAGCAGCAGCAACAGGAGCAAGGCAAGGTGTTTCTCCAGCAGCTGCAACAACTGCAGCAGAGAGAGCTGCAGGCGCTACTGCTAATGCATCTGCAGAAAGAGATGCTAGAGCAGCAGAAACGTGTGCACGCACAGGGGCAGGGGCAGGGGCAGGGGCAGGGGCAGGGGCAGGGGCAGGGGCAGGGGCAGGGGCAGGGACAAGCACACGGGCAGGGGCAGGGGCAGGGGCAAGGGCTGGGCCAGGGGCAAAGGGTAACGCTACAGCAAGCAGTCCAGCTACAGCCGTCACAGCATCACATGGAGCAGCAGGTTCAGCTACAGCTGTCACAGCAGCAAGTGCAGCTGCAGGCACAGCTACAGCCGTCACAGCAGCAGGTGCAGCTGCAGGCACAGCTACAGGCGTCACAGCAGCAGGTGCAAGCACCGCAGACACTAGCAGATCTGCAGCGATTGCTGTTGGCGGGAGGGTTGAGCACTCCCCTTCAAGCATCCTTGCAGCAACGGCTACAGCTGCAGCCACAGCCACAGTCACAGCCACAGTCACAGCCACAGTCACAGCCACAGTCACAGCCACAGTCACAGCCACAGTTACAACAACAGGTGCAGCCACAGCTACAGAATCAGGTTGTACCAGTGCATGCAGTGAGCAATGCAGGAGGAGGTGAAGGGGGATTGGGATCAGAAGCAAGTGGAGAACCAGGGACAGGAGGAGCTATGGCAGGACTGACACCAGCAACAGCAACAGTTGTTGCAAAGCCAGCATCGGCAGCAGAAGCACTGCCAACAGCGGGTATTTATTACACCGGCGGAAGCCCAGCGTCCACCGGGCAACTCACGCGAGCAGCAGCAGATGCAATGGAGTGGAAGAGCCCAATCCGTAGCACAGTATCCCCAGCAGTAGTGGCATCGCCTCCGAGTTTTGAGGCATCTCAAAACCCGATCCGTAGCATAATAGTCTCGGCAGTGGCATTGCCTCCAGAGGCTATGAGTCTCAGTGCTGGCGAGTTGCCACCCAACACAGCAGCAGCAGCAGCAGCAGCAGCAGCTGCAGCAACAGCAGGAGCAGTGGTGTCAGCAGCAGCGCCAGGGGTCATGGGACTCAGTTCGGGCGAGTTGCCTTCCAACACAGCAGCAGCAGGAGTGGTGTCAGCAGCAGAGGCATCGGTGCCGGGGGTTCTGAGTCTGAGTGGGGGTGAGCTGCCGCCGAACCTGGCAGCAGCAGTGGAGGAATTGCAGCGAGTTTTAGCGTCCTCCCAGCAGCAGCAGCAGCTGCTGGATCGGCACTCCCAACAGTCACAGCAGCAGCAAATGGAGCAGCAGCACACACAGCAGGGGCAGGGGGACAGACAGAGGGCAGCGCAGCAGGAGGGAGGGGAGGGTGGAGGGGGCATGGGCGGTTTCGGTGTGATTGTAAACGAGGAGGGTCTATCGAAGGGCACGTGGTTACCAGAGGAGGATCGGGTGCTAATGGAGTATGTGGAGTGTTACGGGGCCAAGAACTGGGGTAACCTGGTAACCAGAGGGCTGCTGAGACGCTCTGGGAAAAGTTGCAGGCTGCGATGGGTGAACCAGCTGAAGCCGGGCCTGCAGGTACGGATGAGTCGAACCAGGTCTTCAAGCGAGGGGTCTATCATTGACCTAGACCACCACCGTGCTTGTTATGATCAAGTGAGGAGGATGATTCAGAGGAGGAGTTTCTTCTTGAGTCGGCCCCATGCTGCCTATCTGGCTGCTTTGCAGCTCTGTGTGGAGGATGGCAGCTAATTTGAGGCCGAATAGCCTTTGTAAGGTTTTCCAAATGTCAAAAGAAAACTTACAAAAGTTTTTTGGCCTCAAATTTGCTGACATCCTCCACACAGAGCTGCAACGCAGCCAGATAGGCAGCATGGGAGCGACTCAAGAAGAAACTCCCCCTCTGGATCATCCTCCTCACTTGGTCATAGCAATCACGGTGGTGGTCTTGGTCAATGATAGACCCCTCGCTCGAGCTACTCCCCAACATCACCTGGATGCTGAACCGTTGATTATAGTGCAGACATGGCACCGTTGCAAGTGGACAGTGGTTACGTGAGAAGCTGCAGGCATGGCCAGACAATGTTTTTCCAATTCTTGCATGTTCTTTTCCCACCCAATATCACAGTGGATGCTGCTGACTCGGCTACAATGCAACCAGTCCTCCTCCCATCAGCTTCCTTGAGAATTCTTAGAATACAGACTTGCAGTGTTCTTTTTCCACCCAATGTCACAGTGGATGCTGCTGACTCGGCTACAACCAGTCCTCCTCCTATCAGCTTCCCTCCTTGCTCGTTCCTTCGTGCCCCTTCCGCCCTTTGTTTGCAGAGGTACGGTGGCAAGGGCTGCAAGCGGTTCACAGAGCAGGAGTCCAACATCGTACTCGCCCTACAGGTAATGCACTTGTGATGTGAGACGGCGTTCATATGCTGGGCGTGCAGTGCAGTCCGTCTCACCACATATGGACGTGCATACATGATGAGTTGGGCTGCAAGCGGTTCACAGAGCAGGAGTCCAGGTAATACCCTTGTGAGGCACTGCCCTACAGGTAATGCACTTGTGAGGCACTACCCTGTGCTACGCCTAATTGTAGGATAGGCTGCAAGCGGTTCACAGAGCAGGAGTTTGACCCTGTCCTCGCTCGCATGTGATGACTTTTTAGGCGTCTCAAAAGCCCTGTCCTCGCTCGCATGTGATGATACTCTACTGCTCTTTCGATCTCAATCACACACCTGCCTGCCCAGCTGAATGACGCCCACAGGCCCCCTTCCTTCCCTTGCTTTTCCCTTCACACGCCTTCTCCACCGTCTCCGGTCACCGTTCTCCCATCGCTTGCCCCCACCAGGAAATTCTGGGCAACAAGTGAGCGCAGATCTCAAGGCACCTGGCGCCGGGGCGGAGAGACACACACGCCCAGAGACGTTTCTCCTTCCCCTTCTCACACCTGACTCTCCCTCGCAATCTGCCTTCTCCCTTCGTCTACCCCCACCAGGAGACGCTGGGCAACAAGTGGGCGCAGATCGCGAGGCACCTGCCGGGGCGAACGCGCGACCTGAGACATTTCCCCCCCTCCCGCCCACTTCTCCCTCACGCTCCTTGTCCTCCCTTCGTCTACCCCCACCAGGAGACCCTGGGCAACAAGTGGGCGCAGATCGCAAGGCACCTGCCGGGGCGAACAGACAACGATGTGAAGAACTTTTGGAACCTGCACCTCAAGCGGATGGAGCGGCTGCGACGGCAGAGAGAGCAGAAAGGGGGCCATGCTGGTAGTAAAAGCGATGCTGGTGGTGGCGGTGGCGGTGCTGCTGCTGAGAGTGAGGAGGCTGCTGCTAGTGGCGGTGCTGCTAGTGGCAGTGCTGCTACAGGTGCTGCTTTTGCTGGTGGTTCTGCTGGTGGTGCTGATGGTGCTGGTAGTAAAGGTGATGCTGGTGCTGGCGGTGGTGGTGGTGGTGCTGCTGCTGCTGCTGCCAATGGCGATGCCTGTGCTTCTTCTGCTGCTGTCCCTGCTGATGGCGCTGCAGTTTCAGCACCTGCTACTGATGCCGCGACTGCTGCTATTGATGCTGCTACTGCTGCTGCTTGTGTTACTGCTGCCGCTGCTGTGTCTGCAGAAAATGCAGAAGATACGACCAATGAAGGTGTTGCAGGGAACGGTGCTGGGAGTGGTGCTGGGGGGAATGAAGTGCTCAGTGAACACAGCTGGAGATCAGAAGGTAAGGGGAAGCTGGAGACAGTAACGGACGGCGCAACAGCAATCGAGGGCGCATCAGCAAGGGGGAACGTAGCAGCAGCAGCAGCAGCAGCAAGCAAAGGTAACACAGGTCAAATGACTGCGCAAGGTGGGAGCAGCAGCAGCAGCGGCGGCGGCGGCAGCGGCAGCGGCGGCGGCGGTGGCGGTGGCGGCAGCCTTGCGGTGCTTGAGAGCACGAGTCTGTCTCCCTCCTTCTTCCTCTTCTCCCCGAGCTCCTTCACCTCCCCCATGTCTATCAGCCCACTGCCCACCATCCAGGAAGGCCCGGATGCCTCTCATACCCGAGAAGGGCTGGATGTTGTTGTTAAGATGCATGGCGATGTGGGTCAGGTGCAAGGAGGTGTGGCGTCTGATGCTGCATTGGAAAGGGGCGTGGCTACTGCTGCTCGTGCTGCTGCTGGTGATGCTGTAGGTGAGGTTCGCACAGTTCGGCTGCAAGAGCCGAAGCACCAGCAACAGCAGCAGCAGCAGCAACATCAACAGCTGCAGCAGCAGCTGCAAGAACACCAGCAACAGCATCAACAGCATAACCAACAGCAGAAACAACAGCACCAGCAACAACAACAGCAGCCGCAGCAGCAGCAGCAACAACAAGAGCATCAGCAGCAGCAGCAGCAGCAGCAGCAGCAGCAGCAGCTTCAGCGGGAGCAACATCAGCAGCATCAGCAGCATCTGCAGCAATATCAACAGCAGCTACACCAGCCACCAGCTCAGGCGTTCTCTGAAGCACCTCAAAAGCTCAGGCACACCCAGAGGACAATCCGTCAACCCCCACTACCGCCAGCAGAGAAGCAGCTTCTACACCAGCCGCCGGCGCAGGTGCCGGCATCAGCTGTGGCGCGGCCACAGGCAGTGAGGCGAAGCAGGACAGGGGAGCAGCGGCCTAAGGTGTCGCTGCACCAGAGGAGACTCCAGAGAAACGCCTCTGCCAGCGCTGTGGCTGGAGGTGGGGGCAGTGAGACGGCTGGTAGTGGTGCGAGTGCTGCTAGCGGTGGGAGCGGTGGGAGTGGTGGGAGTGGTGGGGGGTCTGCGAGTTTTGGGGGGTCTGTGAGCGGTGCGAGTGGCGGGGAGGATGGTGGTGTGAGGGAGGGAGGGGAAGGAGGAGGGGAGCAGCGGGTGCTGCGAGCGAGCAGTCTACCGAATGTGCCGAGAGCTGGGAGCTGGAGGGACGGTGGGAGCTTTGGAGCGGCGGATGGGGGAAGGTGGACGATGGGAGAGGCGGCAGCGGCTGCTGTGGCTGCTGTGGGTGAGTGTCAGCAGGATGAAGCAGCTGTTGCCACTGCTGGTGCTGATGCTGCGGTTGTTGCTGATCCTTCTGCTGTTCCTGCTGCCGCTGCTTCTGCTGCCGCTGCTTCTGCTGTGGCTGCTACTGCTGCCATTGCAATGGGTCATGATCCCACCGCTCTGGCGGCCAGTGATAGCACTTGGAAATATTCTAGTCCACCTGCACATCAGCCGGCTGGGCCTGCTGCAGGATCTATCCAACAATCCAAGCATACGTCGGAACCTTCATCCACTCAAGAACGCACAAGCTCTCCTGTTGCTGCTCCTCTAGGTTCTGCACTTGTCGTCTCAGCTCCTCCTATTGGCTCTGCACCCGGAGCTCCTTATTCAGCTGCCAGTGGTGGTGGCGCTGGTGCTGGTGCTGGTGGTGCTGATGCTAGTGCCAGTGGCGCTGGCGTTGGTTCTAGTGCTAGTGCTGCGGGTGCTGCTGGTGGTGCCGGTGCCGCTGTTGCTGCTGATGGTGCTGGTGGTGCTGGTTCTGCTGCTGCTGGTGCCACTGGTGCTGCTGCGGCTGATGGGAATTCAGGTGCTGCTGGTGCAGGGTCAGCAGATGGGCCAGCAGCAATGGATATGGAGGACAGTGCAGAGAAGATCTCCTCCCTCAAGATCGGTGAGTTCTGCCTTTTGAGTCGAGTCAAGAGTCATCTCTTCCCTCGAGATCGGTGAGTTCTGCCTCTCCGCGTTCAGCTGTGGGTGTGAGTTGAAGATTTGGTTTAGGCGTGGGATTGGGGGAACTCCTTGGGCCCGTTTGGATATTGCGTCTTCCTTGTCTTCCGTGCTGTCCGTCCCCAGCCCCCCTCTCATCTCCCACCATTCCCATCCTGTGTGGCCTTGTGCCCTTCACGAGCTGACTCAAAGCTCATGAGCTGCCTCCCTCCCTCTGCTGCTTTACCCCCTCTGCTGTCCCCCTCCCTGACTCCCCCCGGCCCCCTCCCCTCCCACAGACTGCCACAAGCCTACCAGCAGTGACAGCAGCAGCGGCCCAGCAGCCTCTGGCGAGTTTCTCAACATAGAAGACTGGCTGCAAACCCCCACTCCCCCCCCTCGCCGCACCCCCTGCTCTCCTTTCTACATCAACCTCTCCCCCTCCGCCCGGCGGCTGCGCTCCCCCCGCTCCCCCTCCCCCCGCACGGTTGCTCAGCAGCAGCAGTACCCGCCTGCTTCCCCCCGCCCACTTGCCTCGTGGTTCTCCCCCCGATCGGAACGCCTCCCTCCCCGCTCACACCCGCACTCCCACTCTCACTCACACTCTCACGGTCACTCCCAAAATCACTCTCACAATCAGTCTCATACTCACACCCACTCGCATGGTAGGGCGGCTCTGCCTCCCCAGAGCAGCCGGGGCAACCGAAGCAGCAGCAGCGGCAGTGGCAGCGGCAGTGCCAGTGGGGGTGCTGGCAGTGCTAATGGTGATGGTGCTGCTGCCGATGCTGCTGCCGGTGCTGCTGCTAGTGCTGCTTGCGGTGCTGCTGCTGCTGGTGGTAGTGATGTAGGCGGTGGCAATGCTGGGAATTCCAGCAGCAATGGCAGTGCTGGTAGTGCTGGTAGTGGTGGCAGTGCTGGTAGTGGTGGCAGTGCTGGTAGTGGTGGCAGTGCTGGTAGCGGTGGCAGTGGTGCTGGTGCTGGTAGCGGTGGCAGTGGTGGTTCCGACCCCACTCCCACTCTCAGCCACATTCCAACCCAGGCATTCCGCCAAACTCCCGGCCAGGCTTCTGGCGAATCGGTAAGCCAGCGCAGCGGGCGGGATATCTCTGGTCACCCCGTGCTGCCGTCTCTTCACCCCGCACCAACCACAACTCCTCCTCCTCCTCCTCCCCTTCCCCCAGACCTGGCGGGTCTGGCAGCGCCCTCTCCACCCCTTCCCCCCGCAACATGCTCTCCCCCTCCTCCCGCCCTTCCCCCCGCCCCTCCCCCCGTGGCGGGTTGCCCTCCCCTTCCCCCCGCGGCCTGTCGTCCCCCTCCCCCCGCTCCGTCCACTCTCCGTCTCCACGAGCCTATGGGAGAACAGGACTCGCTCTGCCGTCTCCTCCCGCTCATCCCCCCTCGGGTCCTTCTCCCCACCCATCCTCCTCGGGTAATCCACCCCACCCATCCGCCTCCGCACGGCCTCCCCGGTCCCGAAGCAGCAGCCCGTGCCCACGACTTCCCAACAGCCCACTCCATCCCCGCGGGAGTGCTGCTGCTGCTGCCTCCCATCCGCCTGCTGCTCCGTCTTGTCTTGGAGTACCTGGTACCAGTGCAAGTGCAGGTACGAGTGCAAGCGTTAGTGCACACGCAAGTGCGAGTGCAAGCGTTAGTGCGCACGCAAGTGCGAGTGCAAGCGACCGAGAAAGAGGTGATGGTGGAGAGGGGCAAGGTGAGTTGGGGAAGTGTGGAACAATCGTGCATGCTCTACCTGGCGCCAATGCTGGACAGCACACTCCGCCTCCGGTTGACCCAGTTGACCCAGCTGAGCCAGTTAGCTCAATTAATCCAGACTCCAAGAAAGGTGACAGCTCCATTCTCGCGACTTGTCAGCCTCAGCTTCAGCAGCAGCAGCAGCAGCAGCAGCAGTGGGAGGAGCAGGTGGCAGAAGAATTGCAGGATGGGAGAGGAGGGCAGCAGCAGCAGCAGCAGCAGCAGATGCCACAGATGCCACAGATGCCGCAGAGAATAGTGCAGCAGATCTTACCATCCGCTGCGGACCTAGAACCAGTCTTGCCCGCATACTCCAGCCAATCATTGTGGGGCTTTGTAGCAGAGATCGACGGCCCAGATGTGTTCGCTGGAGGCGTGGGCACAGAGGAGGATGACGCTGCTAGTGGCGGGGGCTTCCAGGAATCTCTGTCAATGACTGCTGGTCAAGGGCAGACTGCAGCATCCCTTGACATGCATGATATCGAGCAACTCCTTATGGGGGATGAATGTGCTGCTGACATGTCGGGCTGTGATTGGAAACCCTGGGCTGGGGGGGATTGGCCCTGGAGGCACCACAGAAGTTGGAGGGGTTGGAGGAATACAGGATCACGGAGGAGTAACAGAAGCTGCAGTAGGAGTAACAGATGGTGCAATAGCAACTCCTCTGGGTGAAACATCGACGGATGGGGATGTGGCAGATGTGAGTGCAGTGGGGCATCTACTCTTTGATGACTCGTCAGCCATGCAGCAGCTGAGCGCTGATTGGCTGACTGATTTCCAGAGGAGCAATTACGCTGCCTTCACCCCTGACACTGGGGCTGCGCTGGTGCCTGGAGCACCGGCTGCAGCACAGCAAGCAGCCCTATCATCAGCTGAGCATGCAGCTGGAATGCCATCATCAGGGGGACCCTCTGTGCCAGTGCAGCAGGGGGTGTGGCAGCTTGGAGCGGCCAAGGGCAGGCAACCCAGTCAGGATGGGTCTGGTGCTGGAGGAGAGTACCACTGGGGACTGGGCTTTGTGCCTTGACATGTCATTGACATGTGTCAATCTTTTGGTGAATCATGATGTTGCTGATGCCAAGCAAGTGAGAGAGTCCTTGGTATGGTGTAGTCCTTGGTCCTGCAGCAAGTGAGAAATCAGTTCTAGGTACGGTTAAGTCTCTACAGTTGCACATTACCTCATAGAACTTAATAGGGGTGTACGTAGAGGTTTTCGTTCAGCTGTTCAGGCTTGCTTCTTTCACAGTATGTTTCCATTCCACAATGGAGTTACAACGTAGAACAGGCCAGCAGGCACTGGAAGCTGTGGTATTGGCCATGTTGGCTGCCCTTCAGAACCCAATCACTGCAAGCAGATGGATTGAATTAGGCACTAAGAACAGGACAGTACATCACAAAAGCTCCAAAATGGCCGATACCAAGCCCAACGCCTCCCTGGCGACAGGCAGAACAGTAGAGGCGGAACAGTGGGAGCAGCAGTACAGTGGGCGAGGAGGTTTAGATGATGCCGATCTTGTTGGCAATGTCCAGAGCATCGTAGTCTGCTGTCAGCCGCACGTACGCCTTCTTCTGTCCGTCAGGCCTGCCACGTCACACGGTGACAGCACATTAGGGTGAAGGAAATTCGGGGGGAAGAGGAAATCAAAACGTTAGATGGCGAGAATACCCTGTGCAAGAAGCGAACGCCCTTCATGCTGCCATTCTTATCAAGTCCTACCAAGTGCCACTGGAGTCCTGATTATGCCCCTCTTTGCCCCTGAAAGTAGGTTCAGTCTCCAGTGGCCTGATGCTCAAGCTATCAAAATAATCTCCTGAGTTTCCTCCATCAATGAGTATTACGGGGATTAAGAAACGAAATCCCGAGGAAAAAAGGTCACCTGATGAGTGTGTTGATCTTCTTGCACTGGATGTCGTACATCTTCCTGACGGCCTCCTTGATCTGCCTCTTGGTGGCCAGCAGATCCACGATGAACACCAGCGTGTTGTTGTCCTCAATCTTCTTCATTGCCGACTCAGTCGTCAGCGGGAACTTCAGCACCTGGGAGGACGAGAGATTAGCGGGGAAATGACAAGAGGGATGAAGTACGAAAATGTAAGCATCGTGAAATTATAACTTCCAAATAATTTCTTAATCCCCTAGTCCGTGGTCAAAAGGACCTTCAGCTTGTGGTATGACGGAAATCACGACAAAACTCAGCACGAAAATGTCAGCTTCGTCAAACTTTGCTGCATCCCGCATTCTCACAAGTGACTCTTCTGTAACCATATGCATCCATGACGCTGGGTTATCTGCACTCAGGAATGGCTCTGTAATTCCTCCTGCGAACGTACAGTCTCAGAACCTCTCTAACTAGCCGCTTTCATTAACAGAGGCTCCGAATGTCTCTGTCCAGCCGTCCAGAAAATCTACAAATCACCAACTCCCTCAGAGTAACTGTTAATAACCAACAGCTTGAGATGCCTCTGACTAGGCGTTCGAAAACTCGACGGTCTAAAGAAGACTCTGACCTGAATTTAAGAAAATTCACGGTCTTCAAATGCTACGGATCCGTCGTTCAGGAAAGCAGCGACTGGAATGTCCTGACTCGCGGGACGTCGTGGACTGGTCAGTCAGATGTCTAAGGTGGACTGGTCAGTCAGATGTCAACTTCTGGTAATCGTCACCAACACGTACAGCCATGGGTGCGACAAGAAGCCACTAACCATCCTTCGCTTGCAAACTTCGCACAACCTCGAAAAGCATCGCGTGAGCTATTCGCCTCTTGAAGCTTGTCACCTCCAAAGTGGACCGTGATCAGACTAAAGAAGGCTGGCTCGTCCACCACTGTCCACATTTAGAGATTCAGTGCGATAGGTTCCAAACGACATCATGCAAAACAAAACAGAGGTTCATTCGAAGATCCACTCACCAGGAACCGGACGAGCTTCGGCATGGGAGGAGCCGAGATTCTGGGGCACTTCCGAGCTTTTTTCAGGGATATTTCAGTACATTCGGAAACACGAGAAACAGCATACGAACGATGGTTAATGCAAATATCCACTCACCCGGAACTGGTCGAGCTTCTGCATGGGAGGAGCGGAGATTCTGGGGTACTTGGGGCTGCGAGCCTTCTTCAGGGTCTTGGGCCGGTGGAAGTGCACGGACGTCCGGACCTTGAGGATCTTCTTCCTGCTCGTCTTCTTCAGGGCCTTGGCGGCCTTTGCGGCTTGTGCCTTGGCATCGGGCTTGCCTGGTGGAAGGAAAAAAGGGGTTGAGGGACATGATTTTAAGTCGACTCGAAGGATGTCCAGACCTTGAGGATCTTCTTCCTGCTCGTCTTCTTCAGGGCCTTGGCGGCCTTTGCGGTTTGTGCCTTGGCATCGGGCTTGGCACTGGTGAATGAAAAAAGGGTGAGAGCCACCGAAAAGTTGTCGAATGAGGAAAAACGTTCTCTGATTCTGGAATCTTCGTAACAACACGGATGTACGCAATGTGAATCAGTCGGTTTGATGACAACGAACGGTACGAGCGGTATCTGTTTCTTCAACCCTAGCATTCAACGCAGTAGAAACTATAAAAATCCTCCGCTAGGAGAAATCCTCGCACGAATCGCATCAACGACAACCTTCAAGGCTCACGAATACACCGGCTGGTTGTAAGAAACCCTAATCCAACGGCTGACGCCGTTTTTCTACATCTTCGCCCTAATTTCCCACTATGACGAATCCACAGTCCTATCATAACCTCGGAACGAACCGGGAAACATCAAACTAGACGACGCGTGACATTGTCGCGCCCTCACCTTTGGGCGCCATGGCTACTTCTGCGACTAGACGGTGTGAGGGTTACAAGAGAAGGGACCACCCCAGGGCAGAAAGGAAGGTGGAAGAGGAGAGAGACTGGGCTTTGAAAACGTAGCTTTCCTAACCAGTCAGAGAGGCGCAAGCGAGACAATTTCCAAGGGAGCCTGGTGCGGGAAGGGGGGGATCGAGCAAACGACTAAGCAAATTGTTATCGAGTACAGTCTCGAAGGACTCTGATTCGTTGTTGTCTGAAACGAGAAGGAGCTTGCCGAGGACATTACTCGCTCGGTCATTTGGGATTCGCGGATGGGCTCTCATCTCATCCTTTCGTCAATAAGGTGAGATAAACAGGGAGCCTCAAGAAACAAACTGGCGGAGTGAAGTTCACTGACTGATAAAATAAAGCAACAAAACTAGAGACTAATCTTGTACACTAAAACTCATGAAGCAAACATTCAAGGAGTTTGACATTCATTTCCAGGAATAATATACCATTGTAGCTTTATCTAAGCAGCAAGAACAGCCGCAAGATCTTCTGACTTCCCCCGCACATAGATAGTGTACACCAGACGAATTGCATCCACCCATGCATCCATGGAGTCCCATTCGTCCGCCACCTGCATCAAGCACACAATGGAACGAACGAAATATTGAGAGAGGACGTAAGCAAGGTCCAGACATTGAAACCATCCTACCACAACTTCACATCAGACTTCAGATATTGTATTTTATGCAACCTAACAACTACACTCACCATGTAAAATGGCCCATCTACAGTGTCCAGCACAATGCCTCCACCAGCCGGCAGGCTAAGATCAGCACAAGCCTCCACTGAAACAATCTGGCCGATATCCACTTGAATCGGTGGAGGCGGCAGTGAAGAAACTGCATCTTCCACACTAGAAGACAAGTTTGGCCGCCCACCCACAGCATCTGACGACCACCTTCCCCCGTCTGACGTGGCAGCAGCTGAACCAGCGGTTCCAGCGTTGGCGGGCGCGGCAGGTGCAGCAGCAGTAGGTGGAGCGGGCTCAGGCTTGGGGACGATCGAAGCTGTTACAGAGGTCTGGGAGTTGGCTGTGTTGCGGCGGGAGGTCAGGTTGCTGTGGGGTTGCTTAGGCTCGGGCTTCTTGCCCTGGAGGTATTGAGAGGGAAAGATGAAGGGCGAGAAAAATTGGGTCGGGGTGACAAGTGAGAGGGGAGTAAGAGAGAGTGTAACGGGAGTTTGCGGAGAGCGTGAGGAGAGTGTGACGGAGAGTGTGTGGAGAGTGAGGAGAACATCTTACACAGCATGGCCCCTAGCAACAGAGACCCCAACAGGCTTCCAGGCACCAAACAAACCCTTTTCAAGCCACTCGAGCACGCACATTTTTCAGCCGCACACAACACGAGCAGCACGCACCTCCTTGAGCCGTTCATGGTCCAGCACAAACCAGAGCCTGAGCCACTCCGCATGGGGAGCCAATGAGTTGCCGCCAGGTGGCACTGTGAGGTAGCCGCCCTTGAGATACGGGAGGGGCAGCTGGGCACGCATGGACATAAGGTGGTGAGAGGGAAAGAAAGGGATGGGGAAATAGTTGAGTTACTTCTGACCACTGCTATGGCACCTAGATAATTTAGCTATCTTATCTGATGGCATGGCAGTGGCACTGAACTGACTGTTGAGTCGCCTTGAAAATGGCATGAAAAACTTAGTGAAATCACTGCGATGGACCTAACATCAGTGGTGGTACACTTATGACAGTAGTAGAATCATATGTGTGAGGTTTAGGATTCCTCTGTTCTTATATAAAAGCGCACATCCTTGTATGTGTATGGGCAGGTGCGCGTGCAAGTGCGTGTGCGAGTGTGTGTGCGAGTGTGTGTGCGAGTGCGTGTGCAAGTGCATATGCAACGGAATGTGCGTGTGCGTGTGAGGGTGCTTGGGGAGATGCATGTGCACTTGCGAGCGCGTGTGCATGTTTGTGTGCGTGTGCTTGTGCTGTGCGTGTGCCTGAGTGCATGTGCATGTGTTCTACACAGCTCACCATGGTTCGCACGAGCCGGAGAGCATTGCGGTACACCTGAGTCATCCCAGTTGTCCAGGCCAGGGGACGATATGCACACACACACACACACACACACACACACACACACACACACACACACACGCAGGAAGAAAGGCAAGATTCAGTGAGAGTCGGTTCTTCAGGCACCTCAACGATGCAGTGAGAGGAAACATCAGACATGCCCGAAAGTTGAAAT